GAAACGGCGCCTTCTTCAGGACGACGCATCTGGAGCTCTGTGCAGGAGCCCGGGAACAGCGGGGACGAATTCAGGTTCCCTTGTTACCATTGGGTGGAGGGCGACGGCGTCCTGAGCCTGCCTGAGGGCACTGGTGAGCGCGGGGTGGGGATGTGGGGAGGCCTCTGGGGCTCTCGGGAAGCTAGGTGGCGGGAGGAAAGTGCGCAGAGCAGCGGCTGAAGGCGGAGAGGGGTGATTCTGGCAGGGGCCAGCCAGAGGGCGGGCTGCGGTGTAGCTTTGGCAGGGATGAGACAGACTCTCAGGAGAAGCCTCGTCACCCATCTCCTCCTCTCCCTTCCTAGGCCGCACAGTGGTGGACGACCCTCAAGGCCTGTTCAAGAAACACAGGGAGGAGGAGCTGGAAAAGAGAGGGAAGCTGTACCGGTTAGCCCTTCTCCCAGGCCCTGACTCTTCCTCACCCTATAGGGCGCTGCTAACCCTTCCTGAGCAGTAATGCCTGACCTCATTCCCCCACCCCCTACAGATGGGGTAACTGGAAGGAAGGGCTCATCCTGAATGTGGCTGGGAACAAACTATGTGACCTCCCTGCAGATGAGAGGTTCCTGGAGGACAAGAGAATTGACTTTGAAACTTCACCAGCCAAGGGGTAAGAACAAGGGGCTGGATGACAGGGAGGTGTCCTGGTCTACCTGAGGCCGATGGGCTATGGACTGTACAGGGCTGGGCCAGCCTGAGGTAGGTGCCTGTGGTTGCAATGTTTGATTTTAAGACTGTCTCGAAAATTCTTTGTCTCATCCTTCCCTGAAGGCTGGCAGACCTAGCTGTCAAAGACTGTTTAAATGTTCTGACTTGCTGGAAAGATCTGGACGACTTCAACCAGATTTTCTGGTCTGGCCAGAGCATGCTGGCTGGTCAGTCTCCCCACCCCACTACTTTCGCAGGACCCTTACCCCTAGATCCCACCCAATCCAGGGGGATTGACAGGTTGGGAGACCAGAAGCCTGGGCCTTGAGGTGGGCTGGGTCAAGTGGGGATGGGGATGGTTCAATGGGATTTGGAAGGACCAGAGCTCAGATCCCACCAGTGTGCTCAACAAATGCCATCTCCAGAATGGGTGCGGGATTCCTGGAAGGAGGATGCTTTATTTGGGTACCAGTTTCTCAATGGCACCAACCGCATGCTGCTCAGTGCTCCATTCATCTTCTGGTCGTCTGGTGCTTCCTCCAGGGATGGAGGAGCTGCAGGCGCAGCTGGAGAAGGAGCTCCAGGTAGGGACATAACAGACCCAAGGAGGCCATGGATGGAGAAGGAATGAAATCGGGTGGGTCAGCATCAACAGTGCTGCTGCGGTGTCTACTTGTGGGCCGGGCTTGCTGCTGGATAGCAAGAAGGGACTCATCCTGGAGAAGGGGAACAGAATGGCCTTCCTCCCTGTGTGAGAATAGCCACACTGTGGAGGGAGGGTGTGCAGTGAAGGGATGGTTGATAGAGACAGAGTCAAAATGAAGAAATGTGGCTGGGCCTTGGTGTTAAGGATTCAGGGGTGATGTGGGTCTTGAAGTTAAGAGAATCAGGGTCAGGGGTAGGGTTGTTAATCAAGAGTGAACATGGGACAATTGAAAGAGAGCATTCAAGTGGGGTTATAAGGTAAGGCAGACTTGGGTTGGAAGCCTGGCTCTGCTACTTGTAAGCTCAGGCAAGATACCCAACCTCTCAGACCATCTGTTTCCTCTTCTGTAAAACTGGGGCTAATTCAAGCACACGTAAGGATTATGTGAGGTCATAAGCACCTGATCCATTGCCTAATACAAAGTAGATGATGGAGACATGTTAGTTCCCTTCTTCTTCTCCCTTCTGGGAGGCTTGTGCTAATGGCAGCTGCCCCTCCTCCCCCATCCGGGGAGGCACCCTGTTTGAAGCTGACTTCTTCCTGCTGGATGCAATCTAGGCCAACGTCATCCTGTGTAGTCAGCAACACCTGGCAGCCCCTCTGGTCATGCTGAAGCTGCAGCCTGATGGGAAACTCTTGTCCATGGTCATCCAGGTGAGGGACCCAGGACTCCTGCTCCCCAGAGCTTGGCCCTCTCAGCTCAGCCCCTCATCCACAAACCCACTTTGTGCAAGGGCATTGTGCTCCAGCACTGGGGGAGGCATGAAAAGACGAAATAGACAAAGTCCTCGACTTTAAGGGGTTTGCACCGAGCTGGAGAGCTAGCCCAGGCAAGTCTGAATAAGCCACCAGTACTGAAGAGGTCCCTGAGGACAGAGATAGTCAGGGAGGGATTGCTGAGGTGGGGTGGGCATGAG